TTCCCTTAAGACAGCAAATGTGGCAAAGATGGCCACTCTCATCATTTTTATTCAATACCAGGCAGAAATAAAAGGCACTCAGATTAGAAAAGAAAAAAATAAAACTATCTTTATATGCAAAGGACATAATTGGATATACAGAAAATCCTTTAAAAATCTATTAAAAAAAAACACCTCGTAGGGCCGGCCCCGTGGCTTAGTGGTTAAGTGCGCGTGTTCCGCTGCTGGCGGCCCGGGTTCGGATCCTGGGCACGTACCGACACACCGCTTCTCCAGCCATGCTGAGGCCGTGTCCCACATACAGCAACTAGAAGGATGTGCAGCTATAACATACAACTATCTACTGGGGCTTTGGGGGGAAAAATAAATAAATAAATAAAATTATTAAAAAAAAAAAAACACCTCGTAGAACTAAAAAATTGAATTTAAGCAAGTTTATAGAATAAAATATCACAAAATTCTACCCTATTTCTGTGTACCGGCTATTAAAAACTGGAATACAAAATTTAAGAATAAAGTATCATTTACAATGGCATTTAAAAAACCCATGAGATAATAAGGGATAAATTTTACAAAATATATATGATACTTCCCCACTGAAAAGTACAAAACATGTGGATACACTATGTTTGTGGACTGGAAGACTCAATACTGCTAAGATCTCAACTCTCCCCATATTGATATGTAACATTCAATACAGTGCTAATCAAACCTCAAGTCAGTTTTTTCTGTAGAAAATGACAAGCTCATTCTAAATTTATATGGAAATAAAAAGGACCCATAATAACCAAACACTTTGAGAAAAAACACATGTGGAGGACTCACACTAACTCATTTCAAGACTTACTATAAAGCTGTATCAATCAAGACACTGTGATACTGGTTAAGGATAGACACACAGATCCATGGAACAGAAGAAAGTGCAGAAATAGATTCATACATATATGCCCATTTGATTTCTGCCAAAAATTCTTAGAAAATTCAATGGTCAAAGGGCTGTCTTTTCAACAAATGGTGCTGGACAACTTCATATCCATGTGGGAGAACAATGAACCTTGACCATTATCTTACTTCATACACAAATATTAACTCAAAATGTATCACAGACCTAAATATAAAAGTATAAGATTTCTAGAAGAAACATAAAAGAAAGCCTATAGACCTCGGTGTATGCAAAGATCTATTAGATAGGACATAGAGGTACAAAGTATAAAAGAAAACTGATAAACTGGACTTCATCAAAAATTTAAAACTTTTGCTCTTTAAAAAGACTTCATTAAGAAAATAAAAAAGCAAACCAATGACTGGGAGAAAATATTTAAAAATACATATATCTGACAAAGGAACATCTAGAGTATTCAAAAAAATTCTTACAAATTAATAACAACAACCCTAATAAAAAGATGGGCAACAGATTTGAACAGATACTTCACAAAAGAAGACATATTAATGATCAATAAGAATGTGGAGAGCTGCTCAACATCATTAGTCATGAAGGAAATGCAAACTGAAACTACACCGTGATGCACATCTATTAACAACACCGTGTGTTGGGAACGATGTAGAGCAACTAGAACTCTCAGAGAATGCAAGTGGAAGTGTAAAGTGGTACAATCAGTTTGGAAAACAGTTTGTGGGTTTCTCACAAAGTTAAGCACACATATCATGTGATCCAGCAACTCCACTCCTAATTATTTAACCAAGAAAAATGAAAACTTATGTGTACATAAAGACTTGCATACAATGTTCACAGCAATTTTATTTATAACAGCCAAAAACTGGAAACAACCTGTTATGGACTGAATTGTGTCCCCTCAAAATTCCTATGTTGAAGCCCCAATCCCCAATGTGACTGTATTTTGTGACAAGGCATTTAAGGAGGTAATTAAGGTTAAACAAGATCATAATGATGGGGCCCTGCTCCGATATGACTGGTGTCCTTACAAGAAGAGAGAGAGACACCAGAGATGCACATGCACGGAGGAGAGGCCTTGTGAGGACATAGTAACAAGGCGGCCATCTGCAGACCAAGTTGAGAGGCCGCAGAAAAAACCAAACCTGCCAGCACCTTGATCTTGGACTTCCAGTCTCCCGAACTATGAGAAAATAAATTTATATTGACTAAGCCACCCAATCTGTGGTATTTTGTTATGGCAGACCTAGCAGACTAATACAAAATCTAAGTGTCCATCAACAGGTGAATAAACAAATTATGATATAGCTATACAATGGAACACTACTCAAAGATATGAACTAATGATTGAACTAACATGCAACAACATGGATGAACTTCAAAATCATTATGCTGAGCGAAAGGAGCCAAGACACAAATGTGTATTTACTGTGTAATTCCATTTATATAAAATTCTAGAGAAAGCAAATCTAATCTATAGTGACAGAAAGCAAATCAGTAGCTGCCTAGGAATTCGGATAGACTGACTGCAAACGGACTAGAGGGAATGTTAGGGAAGTGACAGAATGTTCTATAACTTAATTATAGTGATGATTGTGCAAGTGTACTCATTTGTCAAAATTTATCGAATCACACACTTAAAATGAGTGCTTTTTATTGCATGTAAATTATACTTCAATACAGAAAATTAAAAATTAGATATACCAGCAGTTTGTAAACAATAAACAAACTAGATAGCTACATTAATATATAAAACACACTTTTAAGCCAAAAATGTTAGTTATTCAAGTGAGTCATTACACAAAGATAGACAGAACATTTTCATCAGAAATATATAAAATACTGAACTGGTATGAAATTAATAATAGTCTCAAAAATAAAGCAAAAACTGAGAAAATCATTCAGAGAAAAACAAATCCACAATTATAGAGGAGAATCTTAACACATTTCTTTCAGTAACTGAAATATCAAGAATAAAATTTAGTAAGGATTTATAAGATCTCAATGACACTATTAACAAGCCTAATCACATGTATATATAAATATATTATATACAACATATATATATCCAACAAGCGAATACACATGCTTCTCAAGCTCATTTGAAGTATTATCAAACATTGTATACCCTGTCACTAAGCAAGTCTTAACAGAGATCAAAGAATTAAAATCATATAAGCCATTTTATCTGATTGTTATAACAAATTAGAAATAAAAAATAGAAAATTAATCTCAAGTTTCCTGTACATTGGAAATTTAAAAAATAACTTCAGTGATCAAAAATAAATCATAATTCAATTAGGCAATATTTAAAACTGAAAAGCAATAAAAGCATTATGTCAAAACTTGTGGGATGTAGCCAAACAAATATTTGGAGAGAAATTTCCAGTCTTACGCATATAAAAGAAGAAAGATGTTAAATCATGGAATGTGATAAATTTATTCCAAAATTCATCTGAGAGAGTTTAATAAGGGAAAAATATAGTCAAAATAATTCTGAGGAACATTAATCCTCCCAAATATCATGACTTAACATAAAACTATAGAAGCTTCAAGAAGGTATTGTTGGCAAGCAGAGAGATAAATAGACCAATGGAGCAGAATGTATGGAAACTTATTTTTAGGACAAAGTAGACATAATTCAATGAAGCAAGGATGATGGATATCCATCCACAAAAATATATAATTACATCTCTATTTCAAACTATACACAAAATCAATCTCAAGTGGGTTAAAGATCTAAATGTGAAAGGCAAAATTTCACATACTTTTAGAATATTAGGAGAACTTTTAAATGAAAATATCTTTCTGATCTTGGGATAGTAAAGGATTTCTTAAAGAAGACATAAAGCATAAACCTTATGGGAAAAGATTGACAACAATTCTGACAGCATCAGAATTTAAAACTTCTGTTTATATTGCAAGCACAGTGAAAAGACAAGCCACAGACAAGGAGAAAATAATTGTAATATCTTTAAAAGGATTATCATCAAGAATATATAGATAATTCCTATAAATCAAAAGATAAACAACCTAATACAAAAATGGGCAAAGTTTACAAAAATTTGTTCAAGAGAAAATTCATAGAAGAGGAATCCTGAATGGCCAAGAAACATGAAACGGTCCTCAATTTCATTTGCAATCAGGGAAACAAAATGAAAAGTATGGGAAGAATTTTAAAGTCTGATAGTATCAAGTATTGATATGTATTTGAGAAAATGATAACTCCATGATATCTGGTGGGAGAGTACAACTTTAGAGAGCAATCTGACAATACTTAACAGAGTTAACATTGCACGTATCTTGGATCCAGTTATGCCACTTCCAGGCATAAACCTAGAGAAATGTACACCCAAGGAGAAATGTAAAAGGATGTTTGTCATAACATTGTATTATAGAAAAAGTAAAGACAATTAAATTTCCTTCAATATGGGAATGAATTTTAGAAAGAAAATATTTATATAATGAATATAGACGCAATTGTTTAGATGTACACTATATGTATCAAAATAAATTTCAAAATTATGATATTAAGCAAAAAAGGCAAGTTGCAAATGGATATCAATAGTATATTATCACAAAAAAAAAGCACAAAAAAACAACAGTATACATCATTTGTGGGTAATAGATATGTAGAAAAAGTGTAAACATCTACAAAAGACTTATACAACTGCCATGAAAGTTATACACACCAATCATTAGGGAAGGAGGAGGGGAAAGGATGAGGAGCTGCATCTGTAATGTGTTATTTCTTTAAATAAGGAGAGACTTTAAGCACATATGGCAAAATGTTACCATCCTTAAACCTGAGAGGTGGGTATATGTGTGTCTTTTATATTAGTTTTTTTTGTACCTTTTTGGTATGTTTGAAATAGTTCTTAATTTTTAAAAATGCTAAAGATTATTCTAGTTGTAGGGTAAGTAACAGATTAAAGGAGAACCAGAGTGGGTATAAGGATAACAGCAGGCTACAATTCACAGTATATTTAAATAATTTAAGTGTTTGTTTATATATTTATGCAAAGTCAAACAAAACTCTTTTAAAAATGATGCAGGATGTACTACAAGCATATTTTCCCAAACTTACCTGCTCGACCTCTCTATTGAGGGAATCTACTTTTTCTTTTAATCTGTTACCCTCTGCCTCAGCAGTGATAAGTTCTAATTTGAGGGTATTGTTATCTGCCTCTGTTTGACGAGCCTTATTTTCCCAGTTTTCAGCATCTTCATTGGCTTTTCGGAGTTGCTCAATCATCTGCCGGTTCTCAGATTCCTAAAAAGCAAATCTTAGGCATTACTCTAAAAGATGTAAAATGTTCAACATATGATGCAAATTAAACATTATTTGCCAGGTCACTGGGGATTTACTTGCCATGAGGATCATTTATTTGTAACATAACCTCGAGAAATCCTATCTATACTCTCAATTTAGAAAATTGGTCACCCTGTAATTAACAGAAGGGAGTGGGACCAGGATCTGCCTTGGCTTCTGAGTCACACTCACTCGTCGAGTAAAGTTAAGTTGCTTCCTCTTATCTTCAAGACCTGGATAAATATGTTCTTATATTTGCTTTTGTTCAAACAAAATCCTTCATTGCCACATATCTGCTTACTGACTACTTGCTGGCCTGGTTTCTGGGCTTCTGCCTTGGCTTGACCTTTTGTATCTGTGTATTCCCTCATTCCTGACCGCTCTTATGGGTTGTACTGGCTACAGAGCTTCTGACTGCTCGCATATCTTAAGCGTCAACTTCTGATAATTCTCTTGGTTTGACATGTTTCCTTTCTGGTTCCTGCCTTTCATTCATAACCCCAGCCTTAATTTTCTCGATCACGTACTGTTCTATGATTCGCTCTTGCCTGCTGTTCTAATAACTTGTCTAAAATTGCTCAGAAGTAAAATATCAAATCTATGCCAATAAACACTATTCATAAATATACATTCATGTATATATTGGGCATAAGAACCACATTTTTAAAACCTTAAAAGTTATATCATGACAGATTGACTAAAGTGGGATCTTATTTCTAGAGGAAAACGATCAGCTCCACAAATAATATACTATATTGAGTAATCATTATGAGGTTATTTTTAAAAACATATTTTAGTAGTGTGGTTTGGCCAACTTATTCTAAAAAATCATTTATAATTTTGGTAATTAATTAAAAAGGCACTAGATCTCTTTCTCTCCTACCTGTTAATAAACAGTGAATTTCCCTATCAGAAACATTGGGTTAAATAAAATGACCCAATTGCAATAAACAACATCTCACCCTATAACGAAGTTCTCACAAATATGATTAAATCATGAGACTGGTTGAATTTCAATTAATATCGCCACCTTGTGGTCTGGTTTTACTTAGAACAATGTGAAAGATCTTTGCCAAGTCTGTTAACAAGTTAACACACTAAACTACTGTAATTGCTTTCAAGATTCAGATATTTCAAATGTGCCAGAAGAAATCTGATGTGCGTTTTCCATTATTGCAATAAAAATAACTCTTGCCTGCTGTACAGATTACGTACTTGGGAGATACATGGTGCAACATACATAAACTGAATTTTACCTACGTTGATCTTTATTTACCCTCTTTAACTTTCCGTAGCACTTACTGTCTACGTCATTCTCTTAAAACTACCTTATAGCTTTATGTAGTTAGGTGTGAATGTACGGTCTCCCCAGTAACACTTTGGATTCCTCGAAGATAGGAACCATTTTATATATTAAATTTAGTTTTCTGACTAAGATAGAAACCATTTTTTACACTAAATTTAGTTTTCTGACTAAGACAGGAACCACTTTATATTTTAAATTTACTTTTGTGACTAGGTAATACTGTGGTTCAAAGTTTAAGCAGTAAACAAAGAATTGCCATAAAATGTCTCTTCTGTCCTCCAACCACCTAGTGGCCCTCCCTCTTGGCAACCAGAAACCGTATTTTACCCTTTTTTGTATCCGCCCAAAGCAGCTAGAGCAGGGTGGGGCCCAAGATAGGCAACATTATAAAAAAGTGAAACTGTTCTTTGCTATTCTCCAATTCCCTCTTGCAAGATCTCTCCACTTCTTTCTCGTGCCACCTGCACCCCTGCACCCCACAGCTCCCTCTGGTGGTCCACTTGGCTCATTACAACACTCCACCATGGCAATTCTTGACTGAACTATGGATACAGCCTCTCCTAATTGCTCTCCCTCCTTCTGATTTTGTTACTCACTTGATTTATTCTTCCCAAAATCTCCAGAATGATCTTTCTAAAAGGCAATTTTTCAAATAACTTCTGTGTTTATGTTGTAATGAAAGCTTACTGAAAATACAGTTCAAACAAGTCCTTCTTAGCTCTCTATTACCCACCTACGCACTCCACTCTAGCTAGAGGACCTAGGTTTTTCCCCCTACACCTTTGCTCATGCTGTCCCCACTGCCTGGGGTGCCATTCTGTTTCCTCTCAGTTTTTCATCTCTGGCACCTCAGAACCTAGTGAATGAACAACATACTCGAGTATGTTGTTCATACATAGAGGGAGGTCCAACTTAATGGACCTCCCTACCAAAATGGACCCACGGTTTGTTCTCTCAGGGGGGCGCCTAGATCCATCCAGCTATCTTGTGAAATGAAATCTCAGTAAAAAAAACTCCTACCAGGATGCTAAAAGCTATGAGAAGCTTGATGTGTAATGTCTGAAAAAACAATTCCAGAATCTGAAAGCCTCAATCCCTAATAGAATTTCCAGCAATGTGACAGGCTAGGGAGAAAAGGGGAAAGGTCTCACATTGACTGCACCCTGTGGACTGCAACATTGACTGAAAGCTTACTACGTTAAATGTTGTTCAGATATTCATTTATTTGTATTCTGCCCTATTCCAGAATAGAATTAAATGGCCCCCTGTGCTAGGTCTATCTTCCTTACTTGAGTGTTCTTCCCAATTACAGATGAGACACTGAGACTCAGAGATGCTGAGTAGCCTACGTAAGTCCATGTCGTTAGTGAGAAGAGGAGTCAGACTTATCCAACTCCATTTATGGTACTACATTGCTGGCACTTTAAAGTCAGGAAGTGTAGGAAACCACCTGCTTTGCTAACATAAGGCTGCTGCCTTACTGCCTGAAAGCAAAGATTGCAATTTAGGAGCTATCAGAATCTCTTCTCTCTCAAAGTCCTAAACAGTCTTACGCACACTGTAAATAAATACTCAAGATACGTTTGTGGACTGATATTAAATGACATATTAAGGAGAACAGTTTTTTGGGGGGGAGTTTCTTTTAATGGCTTGAGTGGTATGTAGGTAACACTACACCTATTATGGTAATCAATCCAACTACACTATTTTAGATAATATTTTACCGAACGGATATATCTTACATCCTTAGTCAAGCTGTCTGTTTATTCCACAGTTGCCACACATGCACCCAAATTTATTTGGAATCATTTGATGTCAGACACATGTGCCTGATCAAATGGTTACTCACACAGAAGTGCAGAGGAGCGCCATCTGCCCTCTGGTCCTAAGAAATAGATGGCCCCACAACAGACTGATCAATTCTGATCTGTTACACAATCATGTGGAGCCTCTTTTGTCAAAGGTCTGGAATTGAAAACTCTACCATTTTCAAATAAAAGTGAGTCCAGGTTGATTCTGGCCCCTTGTGCTTCAACCAGTTAGGAGGATTCTACTTATCTAGAATGGCTGAGTGGCAAACTAAAAGGGGCATATTCTTGAGTTCCCTTTCTGGACATTGGTGACATGCTAAATATATAGTTAACCCATCATTGTTAACACTAAAATATGCTATGTATTAAAGAAAGACTTGATTTAGCTGTCCATATGAGTGTAATCGATTGATAACTTTAGTGAAAACTCTTAGGTATCATGAGCAAAGAGGAAAACAATATATACGTACTTCAGACTTTAATATATTCTTCAGTTTGTTAACCTCCAAATTAGTATCTTGGACTTTCTGTTTTATGTCATTAAGTTCACTATGAGTATCATTCAATTTTTTAGACAGTGCCTATGAGAAAAAAGATAGGTAGATTTGACTACAAAAAAAAAACAATTGTTCTATGTAAAAACCACCATATTTAAATATTTACAATAAATATGATAAACAAAAGTTAATATATTTAATATATAAATCTCATACAAAAACAGTGAGAAAACACAAGAGTCCAAACAGTAAATGGGCAAAGAACTCAGACATTTCACAAAAAGGAAGCACAAGTGGGTAATACTTGAAAAAAGTTAAAATTTACTAGTAATCAAAGACATGCTGATTAAAATAATGAAATACTATTTTGCCTATCAAACTAGCAAAGATTTAAAGCTATTCTGTTATGGCAAGGAATAGGCATTTCTACGTATCATTGGAATAAACAAAAAGCAAATCTGTGATCTCCTATCTGGTGATGGATCAAAAGACATTTTTAAATGCTCATAAAAACAAGAAAGACAAATATGTTGCTTTTTATTGAAGGAGGGAGATGGATACATGGGTATTCACTTTATTTGAAAATGTCTACTTAGTTTTTTAAAAATTTAAAAAAGAAACCTCATAAGCTTTGATTTAATTTGAAATTAAATCTAATAAAATTTAATGAAAAAGAATGTTCATTAAGGCATTATTTGTTATAGTAACAATATTTATTTACATTAAGTGAATGATGCAATAAATAGTAGTATCTACATAGTGTTATAACCACATAGAACACTATGCATCGATGAGAAATGTTTGGAATAATTTTTAATAACAGAGGAAAATGTTCATCTATATTTAGTGAAAAACTCAGGATAAAACACTAAAAATACCTCATCCCAACTTGTTAAAAACTGTAGTATTGAGGATGAAATTTTTTTAAAGTTTCTGTTTGCCAAATCTTCTATGACATGGGTTCTTAAACAACCTGTGGTCCACAGAGGGATCCATCTTCTACCCCTGGGCCTATGACCCAAAGGAAAAACTACTCTTGAACATATGTAAATTGTTATGACACCAATTTTCTTCTGATTATAAAAAATGTTTATGAAGTTTTAACAAAGCAGGGAAGTTCTTATGATGTTACAGTAAGCTAGTAATAGTCACAAAATATTTATTGAGTGATTATACTGGACACTCTGATAAGTGCTTTCTAAACATATTCTCATCTACTCTCCATTTTTACAGATGATGAACTGAGATTCAGAGAAGTTAAATGATATGATCATACAGACAGGCAGGGGGATTCACACTCATGTGAGTCTTAAATACTCCACTCTACTGCCTTCTCATGTAGAAATAACCATGATAGGAAATGGTATGCGGTTTTATCCCAGTTACGTTAAAAAGTTCATGTAAAAGATAGTATAAAAATTTTTAAAGTGCACTGAAAATCAGTAAAAAATATGTTAACAGTGGCTAATTCTGGATGGTAAAAATGAGAGTTTTTAATCTAGTTTTTCATAAATATAAGTTATATTTACCTTTAGCCTATTTGCTCTAGCTATAGAGTATACAAAAGTAGATCTTATAAATTCATATCCTTTGTTTTTATTCATTAACTTTTAAAAAATAAACTTTATTTTAGAATAATTTTAGATTTACAGAAAAGTTGTGAAAATAGTACAGAGAGTCCCCATATACCCTACACTCAGTTTCCTCTATTAGTAACATTTTACATTTGTATGGTACATTTGTCACAATTAATGAACCGATATTGATACGTTATTAACTAAAGTCCATATTTTACTCAGATTTCTTTCATTTTTATATAATGTCCCTTTTTTGTTCCAGGATCGCATTATTTATTAACTTTTGAACAAAGTACTTTAACATCTCAGGCAATTTTTTTATAATTAACAAAGTGTTGCATCTTTATAACTGTATGTAAATTAAAAATACTTAACTGTTTAAAAATACAGACTTTTATGATGCAAACTAAACACGTTGAGAGTGATAGCAAAGTGGGGGAAATCATATGGACTGAAGAATTTTAAGGGGGGAAGAAAATTTCCAAGTAGAATTTTTTAATGTTCAAATTAAAATAATGATATTGGAAATGAGAACTGTGGATAAAGCTGATACGTCCTAAGGTTTAACACAAATCTATTATATCCCCTGTTCCCTCTTTTCTTTAATATTTAACACTTTATGTCTCAGAATTTCATTTAGAAGTTATGTGGCATATTCTGTGTAATAAAGTTAAAAAATCACTGGTTCCAAAGCATGAGCTTTTCTACAAAATGAAATGAAGTCTGTGCCCCCGGAGAAATATATATTTTCCTTGGAGAAAAAGATTCTAGGACAAGTATACCTGGTTTTCTTGTTTTGCTTTAGAAAACTGTTCTTGGAGATTGTCACTCTCATGAGCCAAGATATCTCTTTCCCTGGCAATTTGAGCCAGCTCATCATTAGTTTCATCCAACTGCCGACGCATTCTGGAAATGTCTTGTTCACACATAATTAGGGCTTCGGTAGACTGTCTATTCCACGAATCAAATAGTACATAAGAAGAGACATTTTACCAACACAGAATAACAAATCTCACAAGACAGTTAGATGGACAGTTAGCAAGAAAACATCTGAAGAAGTTTTAAACACATTTAAATTTGCAGGAATAAATACCTCAAAGATACTGCATTGGAGTTTCTCTATGTTGCTAGCATTTCACAATAAAAGGATGCTAAATATACATAATAGCCACTGATTTGCTAAGTATTGCAAAATTTCTAACACTCAAGTATAAGAAAGCCCTCATCCTACCTCTAGCTGCTATGGCTTAGTCTCCTTTGCAGGTTCCTCTTCCTCTGCTCCTTCAAAAATTAATGGTTCTGAATGTTTAACCCTTAGCCTCCTGATTCTTCTCAGTCTATCCCTTCTCTCAAACAACCCTATCTATACCCAGATGACTCTGAAATCATTATCTCCAGCTTGGCCTCTTCCTTACACTCCCGACTCTTAGATTTAACTGCTTACTAGACACATCTATCTCAGAAGAACGTCTCAAAGGCTCTTCAAATTCAAAGGAAAATCATCTTTTCCATATACTTTCATCATGTCCAATATTCATCCCCAGCCAGAAACCTAGCATTTTCCTAGGTTCTCTCCCTCACAAGTACCTCACTCCTTCTGTCTCCTAACTCCCCAACCCCAATCTATCATCGCCTCCTTGGAGCTGGTTTTTTCCAACACAAAAATGTCCTCAGAATTCTTAAATGATTTCTTACTGCCCAAAGGATAAACTCAAGGCTCATTTTGTCTATAACACAGGCCTCTGTCTGCCTGTTTAGCCTCTTCTCCCTTCACTTCTCCTCTTACACTTTGGGTTCCAACATACTTACCCACTTGTCATCTAAGGGGCCCTTGAACATGATCTGTGGTTCTTGGTGGTTCTTTGTTATTCTTTCTACCTTGAATGCCCTTTCCTTTCCTTTACTAGGCAAACACCATATCCTCTTTTACTTGCCTAGACAGACTTAAGCATTCTTTCAACATTAGAGTTATCATCTTATACATAACACTAAGCCCCGGTTTCTTACTATCTTTGTACATAACACAGTATTTTGCCCCCAAAAGTGCTCAAATTCTTTTTGAATGAATGATTTACCTTGATGCCTGTTCCATCTCAGCAATGATATTCTTCATGCCTGAAATGGTCTTTTCCTTGAAAAGTAATATAAGTTTTAAATAAAAAATTATCTTAAACTGTTATTTTTGTGAAAACTGAATGAACAAAAAGAAATTTTCCCCTCCCTTTTTGATTTCCACTTAGTTTTAAACATTTACGTTCTATTCTTCTTTTCTACACTTTAACACTAAAGCCTAATGTACCAATGTGAATATTTGTACTGGATAAAAACAACATATTATACTCATTAAAGGAAAGACAACACTTAGGTATATTGATATGAGATTAATATATCAAATATTCTGTTACAAGATGTTTTGTGTAGTCATCCAGCAACACAAGAACCCCATAAGCACCCTGTGATTGGAGGCAAACCAGTGACTTGGCATTGGAGTGTTCTATACTGGGAATAGGATTCATGTTATAATATACTTCTTCATGTTATAAAATCCAGGAAAGTGAATCATATAAAGCTAAATTTAGTTCTTAAGAATAATAACTTTTATCAAGTATATTATTTACATTAGTCATGAATAGCATCTTCAAAAAGCCACTCCAATGGAATAACTCATAAAAGTATACTATTAATTTTAGGTGTGAGCTAATAAGGAGGTAAGCATTAGGCCTAGAGCAAAGGAATAAAAAATGAACTGTTGATATTCTCCCTTTTCAAGGGTGTGGTGAAGGAGTAGAATTAATGGAGTCAGTCAAGGCTGAAATGGGTGTGAACATCTTAACGCCATCAATACCATTCCCACAGCTCCTCCTTTTAAAACTCTCATTGATCCTGAACTAAATACACAGGTACTTAGGGCTAACATTAGCCCTAAAAAAGTAGGAAAATTATTCTTTCACTAAATAACTAGATTTCACTTTGCCCTTTGAATTTTCAAATATTTAGTAACCAAGTAACAAGATGAAAAACTAAACCTATATTCCGCAGCCAGTTCTGTTCCCGTTCTTTAGGGAGACAAAGTTAGTTGTGTGTGTGTGTGTGTGTGTGTGTGTGTGTGTGTGTGTATCTTCCTTTATTCATGTGCTCCTCTCCAGGGTATTTTTAGCTCCAGTTTCCCATTCTGCTTTCTGGAGAATGGTGCAGATCCCATATGTGGTAGTAATAGATATTGGAGTACGGTTAAAATATCCATTAGCAAAACAGTTAAACCCTTTTAAGAAACACAAGCCAAGGGAGGAAAAACTCAGAGAAAACACTGCTTAAAATGGAATATTTACACGTTTTTGAAATATAATTTAATACATTTCTAAATAAATTCTAAACAACTAATTGAACCAAGCCATTACTTGGTTAAACTTTAAATATGGTTTACAAGCCTAAAAAGGACTTTCCTTTATCAGTAGAAACTCATCTTGAAAGTAAGATTTCTAAGAAGATTGCATTGTATCCAGGGCAACAAAATTACTGGGCAGAATCCAATAATATATCCTCTTAGCCTATTTTTCTCTTAATATGACCCTAATACTACCAATTCTCAAATTCTTGAAATCTATGCAGTCTTTATCAATTTAAAATTCCTTGTACAACCTCAATATGTTTGTCCAACCAGAGACGTAGATTCAAGTTAATTGTTAAAAATTTAATCTGGACATAATGGTCATAAATTTGCTTAGAAAAAAGAAACAAACTAAAATTTCACACAAATAACTCTGGCTTTTATTACTCAAAAATCTGTGAACTTACTATTGAGTTCTCTAACTTTAATGGGTAGCAAGCAGTAGAACATCTTTTTAAACTATGATTACCAGAAAAAATTTCACCTTATTCACTATAATGTATACTTTTCTAGAGTGATTTATTTCTGTAATCTCCAGATCAGACTGTAAAACTACTGCTTTTTACTGAAGGGTATTTGTAAATTCAGCTCTGAAATACCATTGTAGAGAACATTTCCTCTTTGAATGTCTAACACTGTTTGAAAAAGTTATTTTCCCTTCAGAAGAAGGATGTGTTCACATTCATAAACTTATACAAAGTTTTTGATTTTGAAATGGACTTGCGACTCAACATTCTTTGTGAAGGAAAAGATCATGTTGGTACATTTAGCAGAATGGGAAAAACGTGAAATAGATATAGCAGACGGAAATGAGGTTCAGGAAGACATGAATAATTTGTTTCTAAATGTTAGTGTTTTTAAGGAAAATCATCTTTAACTATTCAAAAAGTGGTTTGAATATAATGAGAAGCAAAATTCCACCCAAAAACACTCATAAAATTTCAAAAATATTAAGGTATAACTATAAAGTAATGAGTCAGCCTTTTCAACAAGTAAACCAAAATTTACCATCTCATGCACTTTGATGACTTCAATTATGCTCATGATTCCCAAATCTATTAACTTCAATTTTCTCTCCAAACCTAACAATCTAAAGGCCTATAAATATTTTAACTACACGTCCAAAAGACACGTCAATAATCTTCCTCTTTAAGCTTGGTCTATTTCCTGTGTTTCCTACTTGGTACTTCAGGAACTATTCACGTGGTTCCTAAGTCAGAAAGCACATCTTGTCAATCTTACTTCCTTAACACATCTGTTTATTTCTCTCATGGATACTGCCACTATCCTAATACAATTCTTATCATTTTACTTCTAACTAATATCCCTGTCACTATTCTCATTTCCTTATAATCCATCTTTTACATGGATTAACAAGTGCCAGAATATCTGTTCTAAAAGAAAGATCTAATTGTAACATTTCATTTACATTATTTCAATGATCCTCTGTATCTATGATAGAGTCTAAACTCAACATCACATGTACTTTCATGATTTATTGCATATCTATTCCATTTCATCTTTTGTCCCCCATCCCTGCCCTCATACCCACCTTTTTGCAACCTATTCTCTGGACATACTAAACATCAACAAATCTCATGAAATTCTCTTAAGAAAGCCATTGGGACTTTCATATAAGCTGCTCTACCTATCTGGATCACCCTTTCTCTCACTGTCCCCTTTCTCTAAATCTTTTCCTGGCTAATTCCTAGCCATCTTTCAGGGAAGTCCAGGCACCATCACTTCCTGGAAGGCTTTCTAGATCTTCCTCCTTTCCTAATCCAACCCCCAGGCTGAATGAGGTGTGTTTCTGCCAAACTCCAACTGCACACTGTGCATACATCATTACGGTACTCAGCACATTCTATCATGATAGCATCTTTATTTACCTTTCTCCCAATTATACTATAAGCTTATGGGAGGGAGGCCCTCTCATCCTCAGTTTCTAACATCATACCTGGTACATGTCAATAAATGCTTGTTAAATGGATGGATAAAGGAATGAATTAGTTCCCTTAGAGAGAAGAAAGAGCTTATTCCAATGATGCTGCCTTTGCTCAAGACATTTGTGGAAAACAGTTTAGGAATTGCCTTCAGAATCAGTCTGTGACCTAGAAAAGGGTATCAATATTTCCCTGCCTTTTTGGCAACATCTTCTTTGTTGTTGTTGTCTGAACAACAAAAAATGTGGGATGGAGGGGCCGGCCCGGTGGCGTAGTGGTTAAGTTTGCACCCTCTGCTTTGGTGGCCTGGAGTTTATGGGTTCGGATCCTGGGCACAGACCCACACACTGCTCATTAAGCCATGCTGTGGTGGCATCCCACATACAAAATGGAGAAGGATGGGCATGGATGTTAGCTCAGGGCTAATCTTCCTCAGCAAAAAAAAAAAAAAAAAAGTAAGATGGATATTATCATCCACATTTATTCACCAGCTCCATATGATCTACTCTCAAAGGCTGAGAAAAATGTAAAAATGTGCTCCTGGTTCTGAACACAATTACAAAGGCAGTTTTCATGGAATAAACATATTGCCTCTCATGGTGGCTACCTGAAAATATAAGTTCTGGTGTGCTTTTAAAAAGAAATCAGTCTCATTGCTTTATTACCATTTTGATATTTGAATTAGTTTTTGCCAGTGAATGTTAATTGATGAGAGAAAAATCAATTTTAAAATATTAGCTAGTGGCTTTGAACACAGATTTCCTAAGACTATCTTGAAATATTTCAAAATCAGCTTTTAAAGTTTCAGCTGTCTAGAAAAAAATTTGAGAAAATCCTAGTATTTTATTCAGATTCAAGTTCAAACATTTCTTTTAAACAACAATTCTCAGAACATACTTTCATTGCCAAACTCTCTCCAAGGGATGCAATATTCTCAGATTTTTTATCCAAACATGCTTGCAGGCATTCTTTTTCTTTAGCCAGATCGTTGAGTGTTGCACCAAGAATGCTGATTTCTTCTCGCTGGGCAATACTTTGCCTTGTAAAATTATCTAAACATGTAATCATAAAGACATTGTTTTAAAGATAAATTTTTTTCCAGTTCCAGCAGATTGAAATACTCGTCAAAGTAAGTTCTCCTATGATATATTCAATGACTAAAAATAAGTTCTGCATCCCAAATAAAAAATGGCTTGGGTTGTTAATGATTAAAAACTAAGATGACTCATGAAATTCTAAATGACTCATAAATGTAAAAATGCAATTAACACGCCTGAATTAGAACAGCCTAGGAAAGCTCTATATCCAAGTTCTCAAGTAGATTTACATGTGTGGTGGGGGAGGAGAGGGTGGGTGGATGAAATGGGTGGAAAAGTAAAACAACCTGTGACCTTTCTCTCCTTTAATTTCCCCTCCTTCTAGCTTAGAATCACTGATGTACATAAGTTGGTAACTAACAGATCTTAATAAAATATTCAATTAAATCATCTTCAGAGTCAAATGGCTTCTAATCTGATTTTTCTAAAGTAGTGTTATAAAAATTCCTTAAAAAACGTCATCCCAGGAAGGCTGATTTGATTTGTGAGAACGTTGGCAAGCCAATGTCAGTGTTGAAGGCCTGAATGATGGCTATAGAATAGTGTTTTTCAAATTGTGGTTTCTCAACCAGCACCATCAGCATCATCTGGAAACTTGTTAGAAATACAAATTCTTAGGTCCCATCCCAGACCTACTGAATTAGAAATTCCGAGCAGGCAAAGCAATTTACGTTTTAATAAGCACCCCTCCCAAGTGATTCTAACGCACACCAAAGCTTGAGAACCACTTGAGGAAATTGGTAAAGATACAAAAGCCCTGGCCATAGCCTACTTCAAGGAGCCTGGCTCCAGTGATCTTTATTAGCTCTCCAGGTGATTCTGACACACACCAAAGTTTGAGAACCACTAGCCCAGAGCTCTACAAGGAAAGCTCTGTTAGACTAGAGCTCTAGGTAAATTCATGCCAACAGCCAACCAGTACAGCACTAAGAGAGGTAATACCATATACCAAGAGGATGATCTATATAGTACATGAGAATACATCATGTTCCTTTTCTAGGCAGTACTGTCTTTAAGGCAAACCACATGTTTTGGGTGTTCTGATATCTGAGTTCATTCCCATTGGCATAAAGTAAATAAATAAATAAGCTGTAAAACATCTCTAGCATTTCCTAGCTTAAAAAAAATTCTCAACCTCACATCCCACTCAGGCTACCACCCCATTTTTCTACTACTCTTAATAGCCTCACTTATTTTTTTCCCCCGTGAGGAAGATTGGCCCTGAGCTAATATCTGTTGCCAATCTTCCTCTTTTTGCTTAAGGAAGATTGTCCCTGAGCTAACATCTGTGCCAATCTTCCTCTATTTTGTATGTGGGACACTGTCGGAGCATGGCTTGACAAGCAGTGTGTAGGTCCACACCCGGGATCTGAACCCATGAACCCTGGGCCGCCAAAGTGGAGCATGGGAACTTAACCACTATGCCACTGGGCTGGCCCCAAGCCTCACTTCTTAAGAGACTTCTATTCTCTCCTGTCGCTACTTCCTCATTTGCTAATCATTCCTCAACCTACTCCATCTTTCATATCCAACACTCCATTCAAACTTTTTGTCAGTGTTACCAAAATTTCCAGTTTGCCAAATCCAATCAATATTTTTTAATCCTTATTTTGCTTCTCAAAAGTATCTGACTTTTGATCATACCCTCCTTTTTAAAATATTTTGCTCTCTTGCCTTCCAAAATAACACTCACTTCTGGGTTTTCTTCCTACTTCTTTGGCTTCTTCTTACTCAGTCCCGGATCCTCTTCTCCTCATTCTCTATATTTTCCCTAGGTGATTTCATGGTTTTAAATTTTATGGTTTTAAAATATCATTTATATGCTGTGTCCAAATGTACATCTTTAGATTTCTCTTCTGAGGTACAAACTTGTCTATCTAACTGCTTACCTTACATTTTCACTTGGATTTAAAATATCCAAAAATGAGTTCTTCAATATTCCCCTTTTATATTTCTCTTTTAATATTTCCTAACTCAATAAAAAGTACCTCCACCCACCTAATTGTTTATGCCAGAAATTTTTTTTTTCTCCCCAAAGCCCCAGTGCATGGTTGTATACCCTAGCTGTAACTCCTTGTAGTTCTTCTCTGTGAGCCACCCCCAAAGCATGGCAACTGACAGACTGGTGATGTGGTTCCATGACCGGGAAACGAACCTGGGCCCCTGAAGCAGTGAGAGCATAGAACTTTAACCACTAGGCCATGAGGACTGGCTCATGCCAGACATTTCTGAACTACATAATAGCAAATGTCAGTTTTAAAATGGACTCTTTTATAGTCCTGACCAAAATTTTAGAGTTGTAAGAAGATTAAATTATGATCATATTTTCATAGAGATCACTGGTAAGAAACATAAATAGGAGACTTTATAAAAATAATTCTCTCTATAAACCCAAGTAATATCATAGAGATAGCCAAATATATGTATACTTTCCACCAAAGTAATATATACATACTATGTCTCATTACAACAGCTATGGACAAGACACAATATAACATAAAAACTTGTAAATTTAAAAGCAATCATCATAAATTTACAGAGTGTTGCTATTTCTTCATTGAAAAATATGAAGCCATGGGGGCCAGCCCAGTGGCATAGTGGTTAAGTTCATGTGCTCCGCTTCGACGGCCCAGGGTTCGCAGGTTTGGATCCTGGGTGCAGACCTATGCAACGTTCATCAAGCCATGCTGTGGTGGCATCCCATATAAAGTAGAGGAAGATGGGCACGGATGTTAGCCCAGGCCAATCTTCCTCAGCCAAAAAAAAAGAGGAGGACTGGCAACAGATGTTAGCTCAGGGCTCATCTCCTCAAAAAAAAAACCAAAGTCATGTCTAAGTATTTACGGTCCTAAATCTAAAAATTTTACTAACAAAGAAAAACACATTTTTCCATGATTTTTGATTCATAAACTTTTTCATTAAAGGACCTATTTCCAAGTTTATCCATGTTATAACTGAAGAGAAGATATTTTCTACCAAACTTTAAAAAAAAGTAATATCAGGAAAAAAAAACTCACCAATTTTTTCATCCAAGCACATAATTTTCTCCTGAGTAAGCTGCAGCTCATATTTTTTCTTAGCAAGGTGTCGCTGAGTATCAGAAAGATCTTTTTCTGTGTTTTCATATAAAAGTCTGTAAACATTTTAATAATAAAACTAATTCTGAAATTTTTATGCTTTATCAATGTTTTAGTCTATTTAAATCTAAAACCTTTTAAGGACTCTAATATATATTTTTTCTTTTTAGTATTTTCACATTATAGAAAGTTTGGAGAACAAAGGATAAAAAGAGATCCTCAATCCACCACTCCAACTTAAGCTACTATTAGCATTTTGGTGTTCACTATTCAGTCTTTTTTCGCTATGCATATTTTAAAGTTACCATAATATAAATTGAAAATTGAATCCTGATTTTTTTCACCTACACTTATTCTTTAATATTTTCTAGTCTTATAATACAGCCCCCAAATCATTTTCTGGCTGAAAAATATTATATGAGCAATAGCCATTTACTTTTAAGGAACTATAACCATTTACTTAAGTACTCCCCTATTACTAGACATTTAGATTCATTTCAGTTTTTCACCATTATAAATAAATCTGTAATTAACAGCATTTCATTCATTGCTGTTCAAACATTTATTAAGTGTCTAGTATGTACCAGGCACTAGGAGTTGAGGAAGCTATGGTGAACTAGTTGGGCATTGGCTCTCCCCTCATAGAGTTCAGAGTCAATAAACAAGTAAACAGACTATAATTTCTGGCAATATGGAAACTAGATCATCTGAAAGTCCTCTCACCACAAAACACTTAGACATTCTGAACAAAATGTAAGAAGCATCCTTTTAAATGTATAGCAAAACTTATAAGAATTTGTAAGGGAAGTCTCCTGGAGCCAAATCAACAATAAGAGTATGAACTGAAGCTATGTTAGATATGGTTGAAGTGTGCCTCTCTCAGTAGCCTAAGGTCTTGTATTTTAACTCAGAAACAGAAGATGAGGCCATAGAGTTGTCTGCAACACAAGTATTAGAACTAAGATTTCCCACATAAAGCCACTGAGGGCTATACCATTAGTGGAAAGGTCAGACTAGAGAAAATCAGCTTGTCAACAATTGCTAAGCTCAGGGTAATAATAACAACTAAAAGTATTCCTCGGGAATTCTTAATCTCAAGATAAGAAATCAAAATAAAATCTGGCTCTAGGATGGTCCTATAATTTAGAACACTTGGCAGAAATAAACACAAAACTTCTCTGGTTGACATGTCCTCAACCCAGTCACAGAACTAAACCTCAGATAAAGGCCTGTTGAAAATAAGCTCACAATTCAAATCTTAAAACACATTAAGAACAACACAAACTTAGTGGGAGTCAAAAGACACACAAACTAAATTAGATCCCCAAGAACTGCAGATTATAGCATTATCAAATAGAAACTTTTAAAAATAGATGTGTTTAGGGGCCGGCCCCGTGGCTTAGCGGTTAAGTGCACATGCTCCGCTGCTGGCGGCCGGGTTTGGATCCCGGGTGCGCACCGATGCACCGCTTCTCCGGCCATGCTGAGGCCGCGTCCCACATACAGCAACTGGAAGGATGTGCAGCTATGACATACAACTATCTACTGGGGCTTTGGGGGAAAATATAAATAAATAAAATTATAAAAAAAAAAATAGATGTGTTTAAATACTAAGACACAAAATAAATAATAGAATACATAATAAAAAGAAAAAAGAACCAGCAGATTTTAAAAAGAAGTAAAGAGAATGTTTGGAAATTAAACTAAAATCATTGAAATAATAAAAAAAGGAAACAACATCAATAGGCAATTTTAAGAACAAAATAGACACAGCTGAAGAGACAATTAGTAAGCTGGAAAAAAAACCAATCAGAGGAAACTACCTATAATAGAGCAGAGATAAAAAGATAGAAAAAAATACAAGATAGAGGTTAAGAGACATAAAGAACAGAATGAGAAGGTCCAATATTCACCTAATCAAAATTCCAGAGGGAGAGAATAAACACAATATTCAAGGAAATATTGGCTAATATATGAAATCTTAGACTAAATAAACATCAGTGAAACACATTAACACTGACATTAAGGGAACATAAGTCCTGGGCAGAAGAAAAAACAAATCTGTATCTATTAAGACAATTATCAATGGAGGAGGGTAAAAGAACTTAAAGGGAGGCATGATTTCTACACTTAAACTGATAAAATGTGACACCAATAGACTGTGATGAGTTATGTATGTATAATGTAAAACCTAAAGGAACTATTGAAAACATCTATACAAGAGAGACTCAAAAGTATTATAGGTTAATCAAAATGGAATTCTAAAAAATATTCAAGTAATCCACAGAAAGGCAGGAAAAAGAAAACAGAGGTAAGAAAAACAAAGGGAAGAGACAAAAAATAAAAAAATAACATAGGAGACTTCAGCCCTAACACACCAATAATTACGTTAAATGCATAAAGTCTTCCTTATGTGTAATCACCAAATGCCAGAAACAATCAAAAAGCCCCTCAATAAATGAATGATTAAACAAATTGTGGTACCTCCATACCATGAATACTACTCAATATTCAAATAACTCAATAACAAAAAGTAGTGAATTACTGATACACGCAACAACTTGGACGGATCTCAATGACATTATTCTAAGTGAAAAAGTCAATCTTAAAAGTCACATCTGTGTGGTTCCATTTATACCACATTCTTGAAATGACAAAATTGCAGAGTTGAGAAACAGACTAGTGGGCACTAGAAGTTAGGGATGGTGGGGGGAAGAAGTGGAAATGTGACGATAAAGGGGTAGAACAAGAGACATCTTGCTGGTGATGGACTAGTTCTGCATTTTGAATGTGGCAGTGGTTACATGAATCCAGACATGTGATAAAATAACATAAAACTATATACACACATTGTACCAATGTCAGTTTTCTGCTTTTGATATTATACTGTGTTTATGTAAAATGTAATCACTGGGGGAAACTGGGTGAAGGGTACATGAAACCTTTCTGTGTATTTTTTCATTTTAACTTTAAGAAGTAAAACAAATTCCTAAATCCAGGCTGCACAACTAAACCAACTAAATAAAAACTTGGGGGTAGAAATTAGGATCACTATTTTTTTTTTTCTTGTGAGGAAGATCAGCCCTGAGCTAACATCCATGCCAATCCTCCTCTTTTTGCTGAGGAAGACTGGCCCTGGGCTAACATCTGTGCCTATCTTCCTCCATTTATATGGGACACCACCAAAGCATGGCCTGACAAGCAGTGCATCGGTGTGTGCCCGGGATCCGAACCCGGGCCGCAAGCAGCAGAGCGTGCCCACTTAACTGCTATGCCACGGGGCCGGCCCGGGATCACTATTTTTTTAAAGCTCCTCATTTGATTCCAATATACAGCCAAGGTTGTTAAGAAGTACCTACTAATGCTGCTTCACTGAGGAGGGCAAAAGGTGAAAAACTGACAAACTCCATGGAAAAATGTGCTCACAGGCAAAAATCACAAGACATTTGAAAAGGCCAGCCATTTCAAAAGAAACAAAACATACTGATTATAGACTGTAGCAGTAGCAGATACATTAGAATAAATAGATCAAAAATTTGAAATTAAACTAATAAACATAAGAAAAGAAAGAGGGGCTGGCCCGGTGGCACAAGCGGTTGAGTACGCATGCTCTGCTGTGGCGGCCCGGGGTTCGCTGGTTTGGATCCCGGGCACGCACCAACGCACTGCTTGGTGAGCCATGCTGTGGTGGCGTCTCATACAAAGTAGAGGAAGATGGGCATGGATGTTGGCCCAGGGCCAG